TAGAGAAAAAGGAAAGGAATAATATTTGTGTTCTCCAAGGATCTATACGTAAGGGGACTGTTAGCCCCTTACTAAAACTCAGTGGGAGTTTTTGATTGGCCAGCTCCCAGTACCAAAAGGGGAAGGGTCCATGAGAAATCAGGGCCTTGAGACGGAAAGACCTCAGAGACAATGGAAAGCAGCCAACACTCCAGCTCATCTTGATTGACAGGTTGGACAGGCCAGTGAGGAAATTAAGAGGCCAGCTCCCGTCCTCTGTGTGAGCTGGGATTTTCTGGGTGTCTCTGAGAGAAAGCAGAGAGAGCTAAGAAGAGCAAGCGGTGTGGAGAGACAAACCTGCAGTGCCAGAGCCCAAGAAGCCCAAATCCTGTGCTAAGGGGCAGTTCTGCAGCAACAGAGCCAGGCACACACAGCCCAAGGAACGCAGACCCTGTGTTGAACAGCAGACTTCCAGTGGCCAGGGCCAACACAAGGAGCTGGAGACTGGCAAAGCAGCACAGTCTGCAACTGGGTGTGGTGAGCAGCTGGGACCAGCAAAGGGGGGAGAGGCTCTGGGCAGGAAGACACCACCAGCCAAGAGGCCCTGCAGGCCAGACTGGGAGAGGGGTCCTGCCACCTAGAGCCTGAAGTCATGTGGTCACAGTCAGAACAAGCGTGTCCAGCCTGCAGCCCCTGTTGCACAGCCAGGGCTTGAGAGAGAGCCCTGAGACCTATAAGGAACAGACTGTGAACTATCCTTACACTCTGCAGACTGCTGTTGTGATGTCCCCGTGCTACAGAGTGGGACTATGTGTTCTCATTTAACTTTTCTCTTTAATCAGTTGGGCTATGTCTACACTGGCATGATTTTCCGAAAATGCTTTTAACGGAAAACTTTTCCGTTAAAAGCATTTTCGGAAAAGCGCGTCTAGATTGGCAGGATGCTTTTCCGCAAAAGCATTTTTTGCGGAAAAGCGTCCGTGGCCAGTCTAGACGCGCCTTTGCGCAAAACCAATCTCAGCTGTCTTCACTGGCCCTTTTGAGCAAAAGTTTTGCGCGAAAGGGT